AAAAAAAGATTTTATTGGGGAATTGGGGGAGGGAACAGCATTGGGGAATCGGGGAAGGGGAACAGACAAGTTGCTGTACTTTTGTTCTTCAATCTAGTTGTGGAGGACGTGGCTTCACTGGCCCATGTTGGTATTGTGATCATTGCGCTCTTCCTGGCTGAGGCAGATCAGTCACCGGCCATTGGACAGGCAGCTCACGCTGGCTGCTGGCCACTCACAGTAGTTTACGGCAGCCCACTGCAGCCTACGCTTTCAGCGACTCAACGGCAGCCCAGCTCCAGGTTGAGCTCTTGTTCACCTTCTTAGCTGTAGAGGGTGCAGCGTCACTGGCCCATGTGGGATCTGAACTGGCGGCCCTGCTGCTCAGAGCTCACACTCCCAAGCCACCTCTTAACCAACAAGCCACTCGGCCAGCCCCTCCTGTTTATTAATAGTAATAGATATTCAAAAGCATAGGTTAAAACAAAAAGCAATTTTTTAACGGAGGATTTACAGCAGATATTACATATTTACCTTTCTCAGTGTGATATGCAGTCCATCTTTGGAAGGGAAAGAGAAAAATCGTTTCTTAGTGGTCGTGAGGATTTGAGGCCCAGAGAAGGGATTTTTCATGGGCCTCCACAGCACACTTTGTCTTTCTCTCTGCCTACTTTCTGTATCCCCAACATTGTTCCTCAACTTTATCTCCAGACAGTTCTTGCCTCTGGCAAGCTTTTTCCCAGGCTTTATCCTTGCCCCTTGGTTTCTTTGTCCTAGTCTTAGAGGATATCAAAGACTGCTTTGCTTCTTTGGTGCCTCCATGCCTTTTGACATACTTGGCATCATCTTAACTCTTGTTCTGAGCAGGTCCTCAAGGACACAGATTTCCATGCAAAGTGATATTTGCCACAACTGTTTTGCAACTGCCTCTTAATGTAATTCCTATACCACATTTTGCCAGTACTAGGAGGGTTAAAATCTAGAGTGTTTTGAGACATAATAGGAAGGGGGATGGCAGTTCTATCTTATTACCTGCTAGGATGCCACTGTGCTAGTGGCACCTTCCAGAATAGGCAGATTCTAGAGACTGGTTGTGGCAGAGTGCTTGTATGTACCCTAGGGCTGAGGAAGAGCCCAGAGCAGAAAGATGGGGGACTGCAGCATGTAGGACATGAACTAGCTCCAGGCTTGGTGTTGGTTTGGTAGGGAACCAAGTGTGATTTCCTGAGTCCTGTAATCAACCCTTCCAACCTCCTTTCTCACCTCTCTTCCCCCTTCACTGAACTTGACTCACACTGACCTTAGGATTCCTTGACTGTACCAAACACTCTGCTTTCTGCCTCAGAGTCTTTGCTTATGTTGTTCTCACTGCCTGCAACACTCCTTACTTTTGTCCTGGCTGGCTTCTTTCATCCTTTAGGTGTTTACTTAAGTGACACTTCGTCAGAAAAGTCTTCTTTGGCCACCCAATCCAGGTAGATCTTATCTATTCTGTCTAATGACACCATTTTCTTCTTTCTAACATATGACACAGTTTGTAATTATGTATTTGTATGTCAATATGTTTAATGGAAGTCTTCAACTAGACATAAACCATGTTTGATAAGCCACTGTATAATCAGTGCCTGGCTCATTATAGACTCACATTAAATATTTGGTAAAGGAATGAATGAAAGAATAATGTGAGTTTATTGGACTCTTTAATAGCCTTCTCAGTGATGTACTGATTGGTGTGGTTGTGGTTGTTAGATTGTGGCATGTCCTGAAGTCCTTTCTCAGAAGATGGTGCCACCGGGAGCCATGCAAGAATCCTTCAATCACCAGCTCCTGTCTCTGGACCCCCAGCCTGAACAAGAGCCACAGAAGCCTCATCTTCTGGAGGAAAATGGTGAGGCTCTATAATTCAGTGGAACAGATGTGGCTAGAGAGTGGGTGCCCTGGTCATGCGGGTAAACGGTGTCTGTAACAGAGACTTTGGGCTGGGCAGCGAGTGCACTCAGCAGGACCTGGAGTCTGGGAAGGGCTGGGGACCTGGAACTGAGTCCCTGGTATTGAGAGAGAGGTCAACTTATGGGATGTCTAGGAACTGTACCACAGTTCCGTTCTAAAGCTATAATGCAGATGGTGACAACAATACAGGTACTGTTAAAAGGTCTACAAAATTATTTTAGAAAAGTATCATAATTGTTTTATAAGAGTTCTCAAACTCTACCTCATATGTTTTATTGTCCTAATGCTTATGTAAAGAAAGCTTTCCAGTTCCTAATTGCATTTATTTCTGGCTGCTCATTTACTTTGAAGTCTTATTTCAAGCAGTACTTCACGATGACCTTTAGAGCATTTGTTCTTTTTCTTTCTCACCTTCTCTCCATCTGTTTTATTAACCTGTATTAGATAACATCAAGGAAGGATTGTGAACAGCTAAGTGTCTTATTTATGATAATATATGTTCACAAGTGTGTAATCTCTAATCAGAAACTCTTGTCATCAGATATATTTTAGAATTCAGAATTTTTCAGATTTAGTAAGGCAATATGATGCATATACCATATATTACACTACCAACAGGATTTGAGGTGGCACCCCCATAATCACACACATTAATATTTCAGCAGTGAAATGTATGCATATTTACAGTAAGTGGATCAAATAAAAACTTGGAATAGCTTCATATATGTTCTGGTCAGATTTTGTTGTAAAATTAGTTCAATACTTAACTTAATGAAAAAACACCTTTGGTATTTAAAACTTGGGGATTTCAGAATTGCGAATCAGGAATTGTAAACCTGTATTTCCTGTTTGGCCCCAGGCTTTCTTCTAGGTTCCACTTAGTGGTCAGGTCTTTCAGGTGACATGTCCCATGGCTCTAATCTTTTCCAGCATTCCTTTGATAATAACAAAAGCAGCAGCAGCAGCAACTATTACTTCTATGGCACTTACTATGTGTCAGGAATTGCTCTAAGCTTTACTTATAGGAATTCATTTAACCTTCAGTGTATCAGGAAAAATAGTCTTCACTGTTACCATCTGCCAGTGGATCCTTTTTATTTATTTTTAATATTTAAGTCATTTTATGCTTAATTTACAGAAGAATCAAAAGGTAATGAAAACAATTTTTAAAGAAATTTCAGTAAGAGTGAAACCTCTTTGTATCAGGTATATTTTGATAATAGAAACATCATAAAAAATGAAAGAATACTGCCATACAATACTGTCCTTTTAGCAAAATGGGATGGTCCAGAATCTTGTTGTAAAATATTTTTGATGAAGTCCTTCTTGTTGAATGATTCACTGGATGAGATGGTCATATTCCTTTTATGAAATTAGAAGTAAAGTGTTTATCATTGATTCTTGAGTTTGATAAAATTCATCTAGGATATTATCATTTGTAGACTCATTCTAAGACCTCCCTTATACTTTCAGTTTCATCATTATCATTAGAGAGCACACAGCTCCCTGTCTCTTCATCATCTTCTCATTCATCTAATAATAGTGAAACATTTTCTGCTTCTTGAAGGTGATGCACAACTCTGGGCAATGCGCTTAATACTTAGGGAATAGTGAAGAATGATGATGTATTTCACTATTGCACAACACTAACTAGATATTTCCTTTATTTTCCCATTTTCTTACTATTTTAGTCTTTTATGCTCTCTTTGGGAATAATTAATAAATAATGATAGTAAAAATGAAATAATTCCTAGGATGATGAAATAGAAAAATGTCTCATGGTATAGGAAAAATAAAATCACTCAGATCCCAAAATGTATCCTGGATTTGCAAAAGGGTCCAGTAGATCCGTGTAGAAATTATAAGATGGAATGAGTTTTACTCTAGTTTTTAATAATACTAAAATGAATTTTCTTTTTGTTCTTCTAAAGGGATACAAGTCATGTAATTCTAGTCTTTAAAAATAGTTAAAACTGTTCAAAGCAGGAACCCCGAACCCCATATTGTGTTTAACCCTCTGTCGGGCACAACTGATCTCACAGATTCATTGCACACAAAGATGCCCGCTATGAAATACGTCTTTACTAAGTCACAGACATGACTGGCGATAGGTTACGGTAGTGGGGGAAGATACAGAAGCGATGAGTCACGATACTTAAGTTAACTGTTAGATATTTGAAAATTTGTGTGAAATGAATCTGTGAGATCAGTTGTGCCCGACAGAGGTTGAATAGGCCTGGTTGGCATACGAATAGTTAACGTGCACACTAACCCAGGGGAATGTATAGGTATTGCTGTTACCCTCATGTTAGAAATTAAGAAGCTGAGGCCTAGAAAGGTTAAGTAATTTGTTCAGGGTCACAAAGCTAGTACGTGACAGAGCTTGCATTTTAACCCAAGCAGTCTGGCTCTAAATCTATACTTTTACCCCATTCTGAGCAATCCTGCCTTTGCTTTACCACCAATCCCTCCCAACTTGCAGAATCCTGTCCTCCTTAAATCATGTCATCTTCCCTCCACTTGCAGAGTCTCATCACGTCAGGCTACTCTTTTTTTTCTGTTTCTTGGTGCCGCTTCTTTTCTCTGCCCTGTTAGCCAGACCCTAGCCAGTTTCTTTATTCCAACAAAATTACTTTTTTTTTTTTTTTACTACTCTGGTGGCGGCCACATTTTTCATGCCATTCTTTGATAGCACTGATGGCTGGTTTTTGGCTCCTGGGACTAATTTGAGCTTGAGAGGAGCTAAGTCATTTACTTGAAAGCTAAAGAAACAACAGGTTTCACAGGAACTTAAAAAAATAAGTGGAATTATTTGGAATGTAATTCTTATAATAATTCCAATTATAATTGGAATGTAGTCGGTAATCAAAATTACTGTTTGAGCATAGACTACATTCATCCCTTTCTTCAAGTCATCTTTTGACTCTTTAGCCACGCTCCTGGTTTCAGACCCTGTCTCTGGTTTTGGCTTTCATTCATAACCGTCGTCTCCTCCTTTTGTGCCATTGCTCATTACTTCCTGTTCCTTAGACATAAGCAAGCTACATATGCTACATACATCGCCAGAACTGGGGAAACCATAGCAAGGTGTAAACCATTGGGTTAAAGGTTAATACCAGGTGGGTTTGTCCAAGTTGGGCACACATAGACAGTGAGATCAGGGTACACCATGAATCGTGCACAAAGAACAAGCAGAGGTGACAGCAGAAAGTCAGATGGTCACCAGCGTCTAGAGAGTAGACCTTCTAGACATTGCACATTATTCACTCTGCTTACAAAGCACCCTTATCCCTACCCCACCCACCCATACTTCCTGTAAGAAGGCTTTCCTAATGCTCCTACCTCCTGCTCTCCATACAGGTGTCCCTGCCTCTGTGTTCCATTGGGAACTGGGGTGAACTTCAAGTATAGTATTTACCCTATTCTGGAAGTAACTAAAGCTTATGTGTCTGTCCTCCCCATTGGACAGTGAAGTTTTGGAAGGCAAGAATTGTATTATCTGCCTATTCCTATAGCACACAGAGTAGACTTAATAATACATACTACTAATTGGTTGACTATAAACCAACCACAATAATTCCTTAAAGGGAGAGAATGTGGACTAATCAAAGTGTGATTCAAGGAGCAGCAGCACCAGCAGCACCTGGGAGCTTGTTAGAAGTGCAAAATATGGGGGCCACCCCTGACTTACTGAGCCAGAATCTGCCCTGTACCAAGGCCCCCAGGTGATTTGTTTGCATATTAAAGCTTGAGGAGCCCTAGACTCTGGGCAGGGCTTCAGCTTCATGGACCCTGTGGGGCTTGGGTTATTCTTTGAGATGACTAAGTTCAATCTGGCAGAGCAGAGTGCATCCTTACAGGGGGATGGCACAATCTGAGGTCAGCTGCAGGGATTTGCCTGACCAAAGGAGGGAGTCCAGTTTTTTGGGGAGAAGGGTGAGTATAGGGTAGGTGTGGGAGGGGCTGGAATGTTGAGTCTTGAGAGCCAAGCAGAAGAATTTGGCCTTTATGTATCAGGGTACCATTGTGGATTCTTGAGTGAAAGCGGAACATGATGGCAACCGGAACTGGGCAAAGATATTCTCACTGACACCTCTTTTTCTCCCCCCTCAGCCCTTCCTGCTCTCCAAGTTTCTCCCCTTCCCCTGAAGGACAGCCAGGAGCTGACAGCCTCACTTCTCTCAGCTGGGTCCCAGGTGAGCTGGCGTCCCTGTGCCTGCTATGAGGACCCATGTCTATTCTTGGACAAGTAGTTGCCTTAATCCTGAACCTTTATCAGGAGTTCTGTCTCTCTAATTGGAGAACGGGCCCGTCTTGGGTTCGTACTTCAATGTCTTTTTTCGTTCTACCCAGTACTCCCCCATCCTCTTTGAAGAGTAGTTCCTCCCCCTACTTCTTCCCCTAATGCTCACACTTCTTCCCCTCACTCCAAATTTGAACATAGGGAATGGGAATTTAGTGGAGATCTCATGTTTCAGAAGTTGGTGAAAATGGAAGATGTGGCTGATATGGCTGTTTCCTTCATCCTGGAGGAATGGGGACATTTGGACCAGTCCCAGAAGTCCCTCTATAGGGATGACAGGAAGGAGAATTATGAGAGTATTACTTCCATGGGTAAGAATTGTTTCGTTGCATGGATTAGGACATCTTAATTTTGTTTTAAAGAATATTTCTAGTACATTTTATAAAAGCATGTATGTTTTAATTGTTATGACTTTGCTTATTTTTTTCTGTGAAAGAGTAAATCTACATTTTTTTTTCTTATTCAGCTTATTCTGATTATTTCCATCATAATAAGGGTATGACTGAAGACTGATAATACTTGGGGGATAGTATTTACATTCCAGCAAATACTATCTTTTTACTGCTTTAAAATAAAACAGCATAAAACTAACAGGTTTGCGTTTTAGCAGATTTGTAGCAGTTATTGTATTCTATTCCTTGACGAATAACTCTTAACTGAATAATTCTCATGTGTGAAAGCATCTCAGACTTTGCTGAATAACTGTTTATTATAGTGGTCATTACAGTATCTCAATGGCATTCATTCTTTTCCTTCTAATGCATGGATGGCTAGTTGTTCACTCTGTTACCATTCTCAGATCACTGGTACCTATTTTTTGATGTTTGCCCTGTTAGTATCTACACTTTACATGTCATATCTCTTCTTGAATTTTGCCCCCCTCCCCAATGAGATTTTGCACCTATTTCTAATTAAGTTATGATCCTGGAAACTAATATTCGATTTTGCTATCTGAAACAATTATAAACATTTCAGCACTGTGGCAAATATTTTGGAGCTTGTAGCTTTTAGCTTCTTTTGAATGAATTCTTTTGGAAGAACCACTATATATCAGGTACACTGGTAGACTTTAGATGAACTACATAGATAATGCCAGATTTCTTTTGAAAAGCATTATACCATTATATCAGTCTACATTATCTAAGGGATTTTATTCATTCACAGGCCTTTTTTAAAAGGTATAAAACTGACTCTTGCTCTTAAAATTTCCATTTCTTTTATTACTATTTATATATGTATTTGTATTCCTTTTGATTTATTTATTTATATATGCCCCCTTCTTGTTTATCCTTTGAGATCTAGTAGTCTTTCAAGGAATTATTTATGTAGTATATTATATTTAATGCAAATTTTTTTTATCCTCTTTTTAAATTAAATTAAAAACCTCACTTGTCTAATTTGAGTCTATTAGAATTGTTTTCTTTTTCAATTACTTTACAGGTATTTGATGGGTTTCAGAGTTGGAGGTTATTGGCACAGTTCTATACCATTCTCCAAGCAGTTTTAAATTCTTGCTTTCTGATTTTTTTGTTCTCATTATCCACCTCTTTATTACCATCTCTTTATTACTCTTATACTCGGTATACTCTTTTACATTAAGAACATGTTCAGTGGTTTCTGCCTCTTTAATTTCTATGGGAAGAAAATAAATAAATGAATCTTGGAAACAGCTGTTTCCATGGAGTGGCTTGGGATGTTTGGGAACGAGACACAGTTCATTGAAGATTACAAAAGAGAGGAAATTTGAGAAAGTTCTTATAGATAAACTTTCAGAAACTTTGTTTATGCAGGGTAAGAGAGAGGGGGCTGGTCACTTCAAGAATGCATGGATTAGATGGGTTATTTTTGTATGTCCTTTTATTTTTTGTTTTGTTTTTAGCTGAGCCATCCTACTACCTGTTGGCAGCTCAGTGGCTGCTCAGCTCGGGCTGGACTCGAACCGCTGTTGCTCAGAGCTCAAACTCTTGAG